TATATATATGCACATACACATGTATATGTGTGTATGTGTATATATGTATGCACACGTAGAGGTCCACATAATCATATGCATAAAAACATTTACTCTGTAACACGCGGAAATACTCATACACCCACATAATCATAAACAATGGCAAACGCAATCAAATACATATACACGCCCACACAAAGTCACATTGTATCTGTGAGCACTATCTTTCAATCTTTATTTCCAAGACATATGTAAGTGCTTCGAATGTGATAATAAAATGCTGGTTTTATTTTAAAAATCCAATGTACTTTTACTTTCGCTCATTATTAATCAAATGAGGTATATTATTCTATATACCCATACGTAATGTTTTTAGATTTTTTTTATTCTCAATCATCTTTTTTCTTTACGTACGTGAATTTAAGCTCTGCCAGCAAAACCCGTAGGCTGATCCGGAGAAAGCGGTCAAGAGTAAGTGAAATGTGGCGTGTCGTTACCGTAGAGTTTTGTCCGCCGGTGAAAATTACTCATGCGATTGTTCGTTTCTCGATGATTGCATGGATGTTATCTCTGAACATATAGATAAATTGTTGTTAGCGAACTTTTTTTTCCTTCCTTCCTTTATTTCAATTACAAAAAAAGAAAGAGAAACTCTTACTTCTTGTTCTCTTGCACCTACCTGCATCGCATGATATTTTCGGAGGAGGCAAAAAAAAGAAAACAACAGTATCAAAAATAACTCCGCTCACGTGTGGTAACCAAGGCCTTCGTCGTGTTGGTCAGACATTCCAATGCCGGTAAGTTGGTGCCAGGGAAAGGAATCTGACCTTTATTTGCGCAAGTAAGTTGGTATCGCCAGGGAAGAGGGAATGGTAGGTACTTCATGTGATCACGGGGTAAGAGATAAACCAATAATTACCAATATTCCTTCAAAATAGAATTAGACCTTCGGTGCCTCGCGTTTTGTTATGAGTTTACAAAAAGGAAAAACGGAAAAAGGCACTGCAGTTAATCCCAACAACGACCTTTTAATACTGACCTTCTTATTTGGCTGCGTTGGCTCCCGGTCAGGTAAAGGTTGGAGATCGAGTCATGTTTCAGTCGGATAAAAGTGGATTGACCAATTCTCATGAGCTAATAGAATGAATAAGTGATATATAATCGTCAAGAATACAGCCTGTATTTACATTTCCTTGACCTTTTTATGGGGAAATGTGACGAAATTCAGAGACAAAAAAAAAAAAAAAATCTTTCCTTTGGTATCAAGATATGAGCATGGGCGTTATTTTTAGCGAGCACGTTAGGCGACCTTCTGGCCTGACCAGGTAGCACCGTGTTGCGTTTTGGCTTGAGTCCTTAACGGCGAATAAAAATGAAAGGGAGAAATTAAATGATTATGATAACAATAGAATACAGAAACGAAGAGGAACGTAACTTATACACAAAGTCATATTCGTTATATGTGTTTTTTTTTTCTTTGATTATCTATTCATTGTAAAGACATCTTACCTGTCTCACAAATTCAATAATGGTCCTATTCAACTGTCAGACTGGCAAACTACCCCCTAGTATGTCATATCTAAAAATAGTATGTAAATAGAAACGAAATGGTCCTTCTTCACATATGTTTAGATAATATACTGCCGGTTACATGTTATTTTCTGAGACCGGCCTTAGCACTGGCAGCCAGGTGTCATAGATATATTGTGAGGAGCTCAAGGAGAATCTGGCATCTGTCAAACGACCTTCACCCCCCCCCCCCCCTCTTTCCTATTCCTCATAACTCAGACTGCTTTCGCTACCTTCTCGTTTTCATCTCTTTTCTTCTTTTCCTTCTTTCTCTTATCCCGGTTTGATATGATGATAACAACTGGTATCATATTGATGATATTATTGTTACATTATCTTTACCCTACTATTCGTCATTTTCATTGTCATATTCATTGCAAGTCATCAATAGCAGTAGAACCTCTGCTATTATCACTGCGACTATTAACAATTCGTAATCGGGTATCTGTCCATTGCGAATTTTCTCTTTTCCTTGAATTTTCTCCACGGGTGCTCAGCCACCAAGGAGTCAATTAGTAACCAACTTTATCTCATTTGACTTCTCCGTTCCTTGAATTTCCGGTATTTTCTTTTTCTAATGCTAAAATGGTATGATCACTGTTGGTATTATCCTTATCATAATGCTATCAGAATACTACCAGCAGTAAAAAGGAATGATAAACAAGTGAAATAGTCAGGATTAGTGATTGACTCCTAGGTGCCTAAGCGCGTGGAGCATTCTATGTGAAAACACAAATAATAAACTAAAATCACGCTAAGTATGGCATGTATACCACGTCAACCCTTCACAAACATTTTGCATCAATATCAGTACTGTTATTAACGCATTTCCCATTGCTATTGTACAAGTATTCACAGAAATAGAACCATAAACGTCGTCATCACTGCTATTACTAAGGTTCTTTTCAACTATTACTACATTCTTATTTATTATTGCCACCATATATTTCTT